GGGGGGGGGGGACAGGGACAGGGGAGGGAGTTTGCCACCGGTCCCGATCTCGGCGAGGACACTCCTGCGGTGTGGCGTCGTTGTCGTGGTGGCCGCCGTTGTTGCGGCCGCGCGCCCCAGAGCGGCGGGCACCTCCCACCCCACTGTGCTCGGCTGGCTCGCGAAAGAGGGGGAGCAGGGCTCGGGCCGCCCCATATATAATTTCCACCTCGGACATGCTTCCCCCGCCGGCACACCCCTCTCATGCCCACGTCGCTCGGACCGGCGCGACTGCCCGCGCACCATCCATGCCCCTCTGCCGCTGTTGCTGGCCGGCTGGAGACGAGTGGGAGGTGGCGGGGGGGGGGGGCGGAGGGGGAGCGCATCGGCCCCGCCTTGTCCGGTGGTGCCGCCGTGTTCCCCCGGGTCCAGGGTGTTCTCCCCACGAAAGGCGCCCCCTGCTGGTGGTGGCTTAGGGCAGCGGCCACGGGCACCTGTTTCCCGTTGGGTGTGCGGGGCCGGGAGAAGCGGACTTTGGAGAGCTCGAGCGAGGCCCGGGAGCCAGTCAACGCAGAAGCTCTCCTTGCGGGAGAAGACCCCCCCCCCGGCCGGGCGGCAACCTCACTTTTGCCGGCGGCAACTGGCGGCCGAGCAGTGTCCCGGTCGCCGGGGAGGGTCGGTTCCGGGCTACCGGCGGCCTGTTCCACCTCTCAGTCCCCGCTTTCCCGTGTTCCTCGTCGTCCATCACGGCCCACGCTCCCTTTGCTCAGCCATGTCCGGGCGCGCGTGCTGCGTCTGGCTCGGCGCCCAAAAGCACCGCCGGCAGCCCATTCAAATGCGAAAGGGGACGATCATGCCCATCGTGGTTCATCCCTCCCGGGCGGTGTCCGGGCAGGCGGAAATGGCCCAGCAGACCTTCTCTGCGGCCTGCTGGTGTCCTCCCCCGCCCCCGCCTGGCCAGGTGTCCACCCCCCCCCCCCCCCTTCCCCCTTCCCGGCCGGGTGGGGTGGGGCCCGGGCTGGGGCGGGGGTCCGTCTGCTCCGGTCCAAGTGGGGGCACGAGCACCCCCCCGCCCCCCCCCCCTTGCGGCAAAGGATGCCCGTGGCTCGCCGACATCCCGGATGAGCCCCCGGCCCCTCTCGCCAGCCGAGGGGCGTCAGCAACAGGAGGAGACGACGAGGGCGTGTGGAGGGAGGAGCGAGGAGCGTGCCTTGCCCTGCCTGCTCTTTCCGGCCTTCTCGCCCTTTTCGCCCTGCCCGCGCCCTGCCCGCCCCTTCCGCCCCTTCCCTCGAGCCTCTTTATGCGGCATCGCACCACCCGCCGCCCGGTAGTCCGCCCTCAAGACCTCCTTTGCCTCTGCTCCCCCCCCCCTTCCCCCTCTGCTTTCTGCCACCCGTCTCTGTCTGCCACCGCTGAGCCCGGTGTCCCGCATCCACTCTTCCCCCCTCCCCAGCGCGAGAAAGACCCCGCTCCGCCCGTGCGTCATCCAGTCGGCCGTCCGTCCGCCTGTCCAGCTCACTGCTTCTTCTCACACTTCCACATCACCCGCCTGCTCGGACCTCTCCGCCCACCTGGTGGCTCCCCCCCCC